GTGTAAAATGTTGTTTTTCCGATGGATACCGCATTCGCTCTGTGAAGAGCAAAAAGCGGCTCGCGTTACTTAGTGCGTCAGAACTCTCGAAAGATTCCACGCGGGATCCTCAAATGCTGTATACAACATCGTATTAGGTGACGAATCCTGGATATACGCGTACGGACCCGAAACACAGACCAGTCACGAGTTTGAGTGTTCGAAAATGAGTTAAAGCCAACAAAAATTGTTCGTTCACGCAGTGTTGCAAAAAAAATGGTGGCCACGTTTGTCTCCGAAACCGGCCATGTTACGACTATTCCCCTTGAGGGACAAAGAACGGTTAATGCAGAATGGTATGCTAGCATTTGTTTGCCACAGGTCGTTTCTGAACTCCGTAAAGAGAACTGCAACAGCCGCATCATCCTCCATCACGACAATGCGAGTTCTCACACCGCACACAGAACAAAAGAGTTTTTAGAGCAAGAAAACATAGAATTATTAGACCATCCGCTGTACAGCCCCGACCTAAGCCCTAATGATTTCTATACTTTCCCTAAAATAAAGAATAAATTGCGTGGTCAGAGATTTTCATCACCTGAAGAAGCTGTGGACGCCTACAAAACGGCCATTTTGGAGACCCCAACTTCCGAATGGAATGGTTGCTTCAATGATTGGTTCCATCGTATGGAAAAATGTGTCAAATTTCGCGGAGAATACTTCGAAAAGCAATAAATACATTTTTAAATAGTAATCTTGTGTCACTTCCTTGATTCTCGTATACAATTTCACACACACATAGATAGATTATAACGGTATCGCTCGGTGACACCGACAAGCGACAACTTGGATACTCACTCGGATCAGTGGCTCGACCGATCTATATATTGTAGGAGGGCAAGCGGCCTGTGTTGGTAAACAAATCCGTAACAACGCGACCGTTATTATTGTAATCTTTAAAAATTACTTAAATATATAAGGTAACACCATCTTTTTGTAAATCTGACGTGGCAGATCTTTTAATGCAGAAAAAAAAGTAAAAAATTCGGCATTTTTGTAGGACTTCAATTCAGTCGCTCAACTAGATTTAGTCTAGTGAGCTAGTGGGCTGTAACTAGTTTTATTGTACGCATAGGACCGCGTGGACTTATACGTTGACAGAGGGGAATACCTGCATATAGCTACTCCCCCTCCGACACACCGGTGGTCCGTGTTGCTCCATGCTAGAGAGGTATCAATAAAATAATTATTATATACATGATATTTTATTTTGTCTTACAATATTAATCACATTACATTATTTGGATATATTACATTATTTGGACGTTTTACATAGATAATAATACTGATCGTGCGGAAGTATCCTCATTGCAATTCAGAGTATTCGAATTGAATTTTCATCATATTTTATCTCTGTCCTAACATAGATATTAAACAGAGAGAATATGTGTGAAAATGTACAGTTATGACTAGAGAAACACATCGTGATTTAAATCTACATCTAAATTAAAGTAAATGTTTATTTACAATTGATTATAATATAACTTTCATATTTACATTGGCAGATATTCTAAATATCTGAGAAGTGAAACAGCTCATAGTGCTTTATGCAACAAATAGTACTATATTTGTCAATATTGGAATAATTTTAGAGAAATTAATAATTTACTACTTGTTTGTTTGTAAATAATGCATCATAACGATTTTACAAATAGCTTATTATAAACTTTTCATTTTGCTAATGTTTTGAGAACATAGATAGAAGGAAATAAACACGATATTATTATTATATTTGGTAGAAAATATCTACTAACGGGAAATATCCTTTACATTTAATAAACAACCAACAGAAAATAAAACAAATGTTATTTACACATTATTCGACGCATCATTACGCATTAATAATTATCACCATTGAAAGCCAGCAATATAGATTACGCTACAAGAAAGTTTTGTCAATGAGAAAATTCTCTAAGGCAAGACATTGTTTTTTTTTATAGGTTAGGGTGACAAACGAGCACACAGTCCACCTGATGGTAAGTGGCTGCTGCGGTCCATAGACATTTACATCTATCATCGATTATGAATCAAAACGCAGATGCATTGCCACCCGTGAGGACTAAGATTAATTACCTCGTTTCCAGTAAAAAGGGTCTCCGGTTCTCTACACTCATCATACAAAACACAGCAGCAACAAGTTACTATTTGACGCTGGTCTTGTTAAAGATTTTATAGACGGCGTATTTTCACGCGTGTGTATATTTTGTATAACAAAATAACAAAATTTAGTTTTAGATGTTTTAGTGTATAATCGTTGGCCATGCGACTAAAATATTGAGGTAAATTAAAAAATAAATAAAAATACAAATACTGTTTGACTATTGTTCTCTATTGCGCATGTGCGTGTCGATAAAAATAAAAAGGGTTACCCTAATGATATCTTGTATTGCCATAAGAAGGTATATATTATATATTCTTCATATATTCATATAAAGGTGTATAATGTAATGTCCTTCTACACAGATTATCCAACTATCCGTCGTACGCACAGAAATCTAAGTAATAAGGTTATTTAGAATTCTGTAGCCGTACCCTTAGTCGCTCGAGTTACGCTGACGATTGCGGAAACGGCGGTAAAACTTCATGTCAAAGGAGTTACTTTTTTAATAAAACAAGTCCATCTGATGGTAAGTAGCTTCTGCAGCTCATGGACACCTGCTGCCAACTTTAAACTAAGAAGGCTACGGATAAGTTGTCTCCTCTGAAGATCAAAATGGCTTACAGTAATTATGTTGGTTCTCATGTAATTACTGTGTTGCACGTAGACAGAGAAACCTATAGACAAATTGACGCCTTCTTTCGCATTCGCACACGAAAAAGTTAGATTTATGCATACGTCTTGCATAGAAATGAGACAGAGCGGTGTAATTGTATGTCCCTTTCTTCTTGTCGGTTTTTTTTTTGTTTAGCAAACTACACTTTGCTAAACAACTTTGACAGTTCGTAGCGATCTAAGGAGTTTACAAGTTGGTTTAAGTGAGAAAAAAAGTGTTCTGTGAGCTTACGATTGGTGAATTTTGTTTAGTTCAGTTCTTATAACAATTAAATTTTTTATCTAAATATGTTTAAAAGTCTAAAGATTATTGTATAACCTAAAACTACCTTATCGTCCTTTCTCACTCGAGGTCACGCTAATCATTAGTCTATAGGTTTCTCTGTCTACGGTGTCGCATCAGTTTATTGTGAAGAAAAAATATATAAAAATGAAGATTCCGAAAGAAATAATAGGCTCAGAAGGGCTAGAACCCAGAGCCGTAAAGCCAGTTAATTAAAAAAACATGTAATTACTCTATACCCTTCAGATCGGAACACTGCAGTGCAGGCTCTGCTTTTTAACGGCACAAATAAGAGGGTGGTAACCGTATACAGTAGGATTCTCTGTCTACGGTGGTAACCTACCCAGTATGGAGTGTAGAGGTAAGGAGTACAGACTGTATAAAAAAAGTGTCCGTAGGAAAGCGCTAAATAAGGGTGATGCCACTGTAGCTACAGTCGAATTTTTAAAGAACTTTTTATAATTTTTTATTGCACAGACTTTCACCATAATTCATTTTACTCGTACAATAATTATTTTATTGCTTTCAAAATTTTTATTTCCAAAATCACTCTCAACGTATTTTACGGCGATTTATCATATCATATCTTTTACATCCTATGCGTAGGTGTATGGATGTGAAGGAGGCGAGAGACGTGTGTCAGGATCGTGCCAAATGGAAGTCTGTAGTCTCTGCCTACCCCTCTGGGTGACAGGCGTGAGTGTTTATGTATGTATGTATTATCATACCCTGTAGCAACTCGAGCGCTGTTGTGGTGAGTGTTTGAACTGTTATTTACTGCTTACGGATGGACACATTTTAAACTATTCTTCTATGGGAGATTGTCCTCCTTATCTCTATACTCCATGCTACCCAGACAGACTGTTAGACAGAAAAGGAGTTCTACCACCATAAGCTGTGTGAGCAAATTAATCTTATCAGTTAACGAGATACGAATGGATTGTCTTCGTATCAAGCTTTTGGCTAAGTGTATAGGCTAAGCGATCGGCGTAAACATCATAGTACGCTATCTACCCGGGTTCGATATCAACCGGCAGCAATGAAAATTTTAATTTTTGTTTAAGTGCTGATGGTAGATGTGCGTGACAAAAGTGCCTAGTGATGAAGGAGAACATCGTTAGAAAATCTTCATGTCTAAGGAAAGAAAAAACATTTCAGAGATATGTGAAGATCACCAACAAGCACGGCAAACTAATTGCTCCATAAGCCTAGCCAACAGTTAACACGATGTTGGGTTGTGGTCAAGCACTTGTAAAAAATAACCCTATAAAAGTAAGAGCCCAGAAACCAGAACCTAGCTGTGTAACCTTGTGTGACTGTGTGACGTATTCACAAATTAAGTGTGATTTTTTTTATTAACTGGCTTTACGGCTCTGGGTTCTAGCCCTTCTGAGTTTATCATTTTATAATCTTTTTCTTCACAATATGCTGATGCGTCACAATGTGAAACCCTTGGGAGATTTTGACGACAGCTCAACCTAGCGGACAGTTGATGACGATAGCCACTCAAGTTCATAAGGCGCCCAAGCGATCAAAATAACTTGAGTTTTATATCGACATCAAAGCACTTGTTTCGTCGTTTTCTCTAATAGTTCACACGCACGGACACCTAATTCACAAAATCGCATCACTTTTACGAATCAAAATCCACTTCAACCTATTATTCAAGCGACAAAACAGGAGTGACATTCCGTCTACGGCCAAGTTCCCGCCAAAACCCACACTACTACACACATAGTAGCTATCAATACTTTTAGTTGGATGGTTGGATAATCATGTAGTGCCACAATGTTACGTTGCCTTCCGTAATTTTATTTGATTGTTGTAAGGTAAAGGTTATTTTTACATTTGTAGAAATTATTATATTCATAAATATACGGTCGGAAGACCGCATCTCTGTAGATGTCAGCCAAGAACTCCGCCCGATATGTTGCCATGTACGCGCATGTGTCGATTAAGATTGCCAGATTGTGAGAACCTGTGTAAAGAAGGTGTTGCATTAGTATAAAAACGATTTACTTAAAATAGTATCTGGTTTAGACAAAATTAAGTAAAGAAAAAATTTTGTAGAAATTTAAGAAATATCAGAAATTCACTATGGTACAGTATTTTTGGTTAGTTACGCTTATTTTTATTTATGGAAACAATATCCATTTAAAATATAATCCTCGGAGAGACTGAGTAACATTTTTTTCATAAAATTGAAATAACAAACGAATTAATAGTCCACGTAATGGTAAGTGGATAAAAAAGGATGCGTTGTCACCTCTGAGAACTAAGATGGAATGCTAACTTGGATATTCATAAGACTTGCATTATTACGCCTTCGTTGGATCCACGCACGGAGCAAATACAAAGTACTTTGTATTTGCTCCGTGCGTGGATCCACGTATTTAACAAACTATGCAAAATGGTAGTCTTGCGCATAGACACGATACGACGTGACGATAGGCTCGACATTCTAATAAATATTTGATCTGTCTTGAAACTATGTTCAAAATACTGATTTTGAAGTTAACACTAGTTGTATAGAAATGAATTGCTTAGAAAAGTAAATGATCTCATTTCTTTAATTGATTTAAAAACTAAATTTACCTGAGCAAGCATAATTTACATTGATATGGCTTTTCTCCTGAATGTATCCTCAAATGTTTTGTCAGCGTCGAGCTGTCGGAGAATGCCTTCTTACATGATCTACACCTGCGGGAATTACATAAAATTTCATATCTTATTTATATGAGCTGCGATCCCAAATGCGAGTAAGAACATTTTGTTATTTTTTTATTAGGTCCAAAAAGTCCATCGATAGACATGCGCCTTTCCTGTTGTAGAGAGGTTTTGTCATAATCATCACCCCTGTCAGGCGGACGGGAGCACCTATGATGCTGCTTCCCTTCGCCAGTCCGGGTATAGTCGATATCGATCGGAACGCAAGATATTTTTCTGGGATTTACCATAATCACCTCTTACATCACATACAGGACAAAATGGAGTGACGGATGCCCTTACTCACAACCACATGGCAAGTCAATTTATTAATAGACTTAATTTCGTCTTCAAAACGTGGGTTTACGCTAAAGGAGTCAAGCACGAGTTGAACATAAGCTGAGCCGCTCTACTCGCAGTGTTAAGTGTGGACGTACAACGAACCTAAAACATGCAAATCGATGCATGCGATGCAAATCCCTTTGTGTTCGTCAAAAAACTGGCAATAGGCGGAGCACAGTCGAGCACGAACCAATCGCTCGAAGCGCGCTCATTCGAGGCTTGTAAGTCGGTCCACACTACACGAATTTTTGCTCGGCTCATGCTCAGCTCGTGCTCGGCTCGTCTAACGTCAAACCACCTAAATAGCAAAGAAGAAGAAGTGTATTAGCAGGACAGCGAATTATTGTATAATTAAGCTTTTTAATAAGCTTTTTTTTTAAGAATAAGGGTGAGAAATGAGAACGAGACATCTACATCCGTTATCAATTGAGAATGAAAATGTAGATGTGTTGCCATCCCTGAGGGCTTAGATGGAATGTCTCGTTTCCAATAAAAAAGATCTCCGGTACTTTACACACATCATAAGAAACACTGCAGCAATTTTACGCTGGTATTCAGTGAGAGCGAGGCCTTTCATGGGTCGAGCTGACCCATTCGTGCTAAAATAATGATAGGTGGTTACTGCACACTGCAACAGGTGTGGCCACCCCTGATGACTATGTTAAATGGCCTCACAGTCTGTTTTATATATATACCTTACTATCTTATCCTTAACACCAGAACGCACTAGTGAGTGAACTGCCTGACGGAACGAAATATGTACGAGGCTGCTACTAACAAACCCAATTGGACACACAGTTAGAGAAGAAGCCCTATTCCACTTTAGAAATGATTCTCCTATACTTTATTGATTCTCTTATTTTATAATCGTTGAGGTAATACTCACTGGTACGGTCTTTCACCAGAATGCGTCCGCATATGCGTGGTTACGCTTGAGCTTTGGCTGAAGCGCCTATCGCAAATCGGACACCTGAAAAAATAGAGATATTACTTTCTTTTCTTGTAATAGTTTTGTTGCTTTTACTGTTATAATATTGAAACGCAGTTTTCACGTACGATTTTAAAGAGCATTAGACCAACTTCACGGCAGTGTTGACACACACTGACGTGTTTGTCAGCCAAGTTCGAAAAAGCAAAGGGCGAAGCACCTGTAGTGCGTATTTTAGTAATTTACACAAATTATTATTTTAGACCTATAACCACAACTCAAAAACATATAAGTAGACCTACAATTTTGTAATTTTGCATGTTTTATTAGATTCCCATATATACCTAGAATTCCAAAATTTATAATTATAGTCCTGGTGTGAAATGTGAGATTTTCCTAGTCTACTTCTGGATTATTTAGAAACTGAAAATTAGGCATAAAGTTATGACTAGGCTTATGCAATTTGTATTTTATACTTTTTCTTACGTTTTTTATAAATCACGATAATTATTTATATTAGGTAGGTAAAAACTTTATAGTTTTCACTGTAGAAAACTGAAAACTGTAGAGATAACCTAAACGTTTGAAGAAACGTTGAAGCTCATGCTAGTCGTTTTGATTAAAAAGGGTTTATCTCTTTCCAAAATTAAAGATAAAAATTTTAAATATGAAAATTAAATTAACTGCCTTTCAGTGAAGTCTGAAGCTGTTACGTGGAAATTACATCTTATTTTTAGTTCATTCAAGTCGGCTTTTACATTTTATAAAAGTTTAATTTCGTAACTACTAAATAGTCTATAACTAGAAAGTCATCTAAATTGTTTGTTTATAGAATACAATGAGGGTGACAACCGAGCACACAGTCCACCTGATGTTAGGTGGATGCTGTAGCCCATAGATATCTACATTTATCCTCGATTAAGAATCAAAACGCAGGTGCGTTGTCACCCTTGAGGACTAAGATGGAATGCCCCGTATCCAGTAAAAAAGGGTCTCCGGATCTCTACACTCACCATACGAAACATAGCAGTATTAAGCTGCTATTTCCCGCTGGTATTCTGTGAGAGCGTGGTCCTTGCCCGGTTGAGCCGACCCATTCGTGGCACAACTATAATATAGCTGCAGCGTGACTCTACCTCGTATAAAAATTTCTAAACAAAAGTTACTTTATAAACGTCATCTCCAATTTATCCGCTCTTAAGGGTAGAAATTTTCACCAAATTTTAGGGACCATCCCTAAAGTGTAAAATGTACATTTATCCTCGATTGAGAATCAAAATGCAGGTGCGTTATCACCCCTGAGGACTAAGATGGAATGCCCCGTATCCAGTAAAAAAGGGTCTCCGGATCTCTACACTCACCATACGAAACATAGCAGTATTAAGCTGCTATTTCCCGCTGGTATTCTGTGAGAGCGTGGTCTTTGCCCGGTTGAGCCGACCCATTCGTGGCACAACTATAATATAGCTGCAGCGTGACTCTACCACGTATAAAAATTTCTAAACAAAAGTTACTTTATAAACGTCATCTCCAATTTATCCGCTCTTAAGGGTAGAACTTTTCAGCAAATTTTAGGGATCATCCCTAAAGTGTAAAATGTAAATGAAACAAAACATCGTTAAAATCGGTTTGCAATAGACGAAGATATTGCGTAACATACAAAAAGCTTACAGGGTAATCAAGGAATTGATAATGAAATTTTAAAAACCGCTATGTAAAAAGAGGGCATACAAATTACTTTCAGGCATGAAATAAGAAGAGTAGTTCGGGGTTGATAACAGTTGAAATCTGACTGATCGGGTGTATATCTAATTACTATTCATTCCATGTCCTAATGTACAACGTACTTTAATATCAACCAATAAATTTATATATATATATATATATATTCTTTATTGTTCACCAATACACTTAAAAACAGAAATTAAATGTCTTAGTCTTATCGCTCTGGAAGCGATTTATTCCAGGTAACGTGATACGGAATAAATTGATTTTCACAATGAATGGCGAAAAGGGAGATGTACCTACATATCAATTACACACATAAATAAAAAATAAAAACACAAGATGTGAGGATAAATACAGGGTGTTAGTGTAAACACCGTTGTCCTTGAAACCAGTGGTTTGGTTTCACTTATAGAACGTAAATTCAATGAAAAATAACAACATTTTTTTAATAAAATCTAAATTTTTCCTTAATTCCTCAATTTTTGCTTGTCCTAAGCCAGGTTGAAGTATGAAGGAAAAGTTACATCGCAGGTTATGTGTACCTATTGTGTTTTTATGTTGAATGTTGTGTAGGCAGCTAGCGCGGGCGGTGATCTTTACAGTGATTACGTCACTCGGGCGCATAGGGTATCCATGAATTTACGGACGGTGTCGGACAGAAACTTTTTAAATTTTATGAAAGAAAATGGCGTTTTTTTTTAATTCATTGAATTTACGTTCTATAAGTGAAACCAAACCACTGGTTTCAAGGACAACGGTGTTTACACTAACAGCCTGTAGATATAAGGAAGGACTCCAAGTAATTAGTTTTAGATAGATTTTGAAGAAAGAACACAGACTCTGAGCACTATATGTAGAGTTTTACAAGCGTACAACCGTAACAGATAATGATTTATTGAAGAAAGGGAATGAGTGTGTTGGAGTACGAAACGAAAGTTTGTTAGAAGAACGTAGATGACGATCGCGAGAGAAGGAAATAAACCTCAAACAGCCTTTCAAGTAACTTTGGATTGAAATTGAACAGTATGCAGCATGAAACTGAAACAGCCATTTGAGAAGTTTACGAAATTGTGAAATGTGATCATATTTACATAGCCCAAAATATGAATCGTAAGCTAAAAATTATAAATTCGCTCAAATTTATTTCACAGCTCTTTGGTAACATCAAGGATTGAGAAAGTGCAACTTTAGCAGCAGTAGGGAGAAAATTCCTAAGTCTCCGCACAGAGCTTAGCGCTGCAAAAATTTCTCTAATTATTTCAATAACCTACGGAGACCACTTTAGACAGGTCAGACACGTCATGTTAGATAGTCAATAAACTTGAATATATCCTAAATTCTTATATAATAATATTAACAGCTGTTTTTAACTTTAAATAGTTAAAAGTTTATCACTGAAAGGGGTGTGAGCACCATCGAGAAGAATAGGTGGTGTGTGAGGCAAATTAACCTTAGCTACTAATCCAGAATTATAGTACAATAATTATTACCATATGATTTACGCAAGTCTAAAATAAAAGTCAGATCAGTGTTAATTGTATAACTTTCGGTAAATATTCCAAAGAAGATTGAGTGTAAATTTGGAAATCGTCGTCGTAAAAGTGCTAAGAAGAAGACAGTTGATTACTTATAGAATTAATGAAAATTGGAAACAGGAGAAGAGGCGACATGTTACCTTGCGGAACGCCAGCAACATGCTTGCCCAAATAGAACATTATTTGTATCTGAATACGTTGTTGGCGCAGTAAGGCTACGAAAACAATCAATAACAGCAGGAAATATGTTCTTCCATTAGTTTAAAGGACAATTTCTTATAATTTTAATAATGAATTTGCAAATAAGTTGAGTTCAAGGATATTCATTTATTTTGATTTGATTAAATTTTTTATTTTGATAAATTTTTACGAAAAAGAAAAATTCAAATCTCACCGAAATGGTTTCTGACCAGTATGCGTCCTTACATGTGCTGTAAGGTTGGCCGCCTGAGAGAAGCTCTTGTTGCAGTCCCCACATCGGTAAGGCCGTTCTCCTGAGTGAGTCCGCAGGTGCGTTTTCAGTGTACTCGGACGGGCATAAGTCTTGCCACAGATCCGGCACAGATTCGGTTTTTGCTCGTCGTCTTCTGAGCATCCACTGAGGGCTCCCACCTAAAATATATGCAGATATTATTTTCGGAAATAAAAAAGCCTATTATTCTTATAAACATGGGATCAACTTTATCATTACAGCCCTTCACAAGTCCACTGCTGAACATAGGCCTCCCCCAATTTATGCCACAAAGAACGGTCCTGTGCCACTTGCATCCATCAACTTCCTGAATGTCTTACCAGGTGCTCACTCCATCTAGTGGGGGGTCGCCCTACAATTCACCTACCAGTACGAGGCTGCCACTCTAGAACCTTTTTTCTCCAACGGTTGTCGGTTCTTCGAGCTATAAGTCCGGCCCATTGCCACTTCAGCTTACTAATCCGTTGGGCTATATCGGTCACTCTGGTTCTACTGCGGATATCCTCATTTCTAAGTTTATCGCGCAGAGAAATCCCGAGCATAGCCCTCTCCATGGCTCGTTGAGCGACTTTGAGCGTCCTCATACGGCCAGCAGTGAAGGACCACGTCTCAGTTCCGTAGGCCATCACTGGCAACACGCATTGGTTGTATAGTCTCGTTTTCAGGTTTTGAGGTATAGCTGACGAGAAGATGTGTCGTAATTTTGCGAACGATGCCAAGCCGAGTTGAATCCGTCGATTGACCTCTTGGTAGAAGTTGGACTTACCTAGTCGGACTATTTGTCCCAGGTAAATGTACTCGTCAACAACTTCGAGCATAGTGCTCCCAACAACTACCGCCATAGGTGTGACGTGGACATTAAACATGATGTTTGTTTTGTCCATGTTCATCTTAAGTCCTATCCGTTGGGAGACACTATTGAGGTCATTGAGTATAGTGCTTAGGTCCTCCAGCGCTTCTGATATAAGGACTATATCGTTGGCAAAACGAAGGTGAGTGATGTACTCTATATTGATGTTAATACCGTATCCTTTCCAGTCCAGTAGCTTGAAAACGTCTTCCATTGCAGCGCTGAAGAGTTTTGGAGATATTGCGTCACCCTGTCTTACACATCTCTGCAGTCGGATAGGTTTCGTACTCTGGTTCTGTACTCGGATAGCCATCGTAGCCCTACTGTACAAACACTTCAGCACTTCGACATACCGACTGTCCACTTGGTATCGCTGAAGGGACTGTACCGGCACCGTCCAAATTTCGACGGAATCAAAGGCTTTCTCATAGTCGACATACACCAGGCAAAGTGGCAAATTGTACTCTTCGGACTTCTCTACAATTTGCCCAAGGGTATGTATATGGTACATTGGTGTCTTTTCGGAAATCAGCTTGTTCGGGAGGCTGGAAGTCGTCGAGTCTGCGTGCGAGACGATTCGTAATGACACGTTAGTCACGCGCGATAGAGCGTTGTCACCTTTCTTAAAAAACAAGACCACCGTACTTCTGCTCCACGCCTCGTGAGTAGTGCCACCATGGACGACGGAATTAAATAGCTTCTGAAGGACTTCAAATACCGGTTTTCCACCCGCTTTCAGAATCTCCGCTGTCCATCCTCGCCCGGAGGCTTGCCGTTTTTAAGGTGCTGGAGAGCCATTCTAATCTCCCTCAGACTGACGTCCGGGATATCATCGGAATAGTGTTGGATAAGACTTGCTCCTGGATCTACTCACACTTGCGTGTGGCTCCGACGATGACGTGTACAGCTGCCCTTAGAACCTCTCAATGTCACTCAAAATCTCAGGTGTTCCGGAAACGATGCTGCCACACTCGGTCTTTAGTCGTTTCGACAGTTGGCTCTTTCTGACAGACAGATCCCTGGCAAATACTTTGGAGCCTTGTTTCCGCTCCATCGTTTCTTCAATACGAGCTGTGCAGAAATTGCGTAAGTCCCGCCGCATGTATTTGGAGATCTGTCTGTTCAGTTGCCTCTATGCTGCCAAATCTACTGAAGACTGCAGCTTCATTTCCCGTCCAACAGCCATAAGACTAAGAGTGTGATCGGAAAGTTTTTGTTTTCTTCTGAAGCGGGTCTTGCAGAACTTAGCTCCGACCGCATGGACAGTTTCCACGAGCTTGTCATTTATGTCGTCCACTGCATTGCAATCTTCTAGGCACTAAAAACCGTTTTGTAACTGGATTAGAGCACGAGAGGGATGGAGCGTTGACTTCATTAGGCGAGACCTCTCCAACTTAACATTTATGTTCAGTGTGCCTCGAATCATTCGGTGGTCGCTGCCAGCTTTCACCCTCGCGATCACTCAGACATCACTGAACAGTTGGCGTCTGGTCTTCATAATGAAGTCAATCTCATTTTTTGTCGAACCGTCGGGGCTCGACCAGGTCCACTTTCTATGGGGCCGCTTCAGGAAGAAAGCGTTCATCATAAAGAGTCCCTCTTTATCCATAAATTCGGCTGGCTGCTGGCCCCTACGGTTCCATTGCTCTACTCTAAATTTCCCTAACTTCAGCTCACCGCTTTTTCTTGTACCTAGTTTTACGTTGTAGTCTCCCATTAACACCGTATCGTGGGTTTTGGAGGAATGCATGGCTCTAGAGATACCCTCACACATTTCCTCCACCTCCTCGTCGGGATGTGCCGAGGTTGGTGCGTAAACCTGTATGACCTTCAGCGAATACTGTTTGGTGATTCTGAGTATCAGGTACGCGACCCTCGTCGACACGCTCTCAATCTATACAACGTTGTTGACGACAGACTTGTAGACTATAAATCCAACACCTCCTCTGGACAGATAGTCGCTCTCCCGGTGATAGAACAAGTTGCCGGATTCGAGGAATACCGTGTCCTCCCCCTCTCTTCGAACCTCGGATAATTCTATTATATGCCAGCGCAACTTGTCTACCTTTTCTTCCAGCTCCAGGATCTTCTCATCAGTCCTCAGTGTGCATGCGTTATATGTTGCCAGGTCGAGTCGTCGTAGGTGGCAACCGAACCTCCACCGGAGATTCTTAGCACCCTCTGCCCCGCCATTACCATGGTTGCCACCGTAGCTAGGAATAGCGACACACGAATATATCTTATCTAATATTATCGTAATATGTAACGAAAAATAATGTTACGAGCTTAGGGTTCGTGACAATAAAAACTGCCGATTGAATTACCAAAATTTACACTTTTATTACCTAACACCAATCAAAACTTAAAACACTAATAATTAATCATACTGATTCACTTTATTTTGCTCCGAAGCTTCGCCTGTCTCGGCAAATTCAATACTGCCCCGATCGCAGGTTGCAGCGGCTTTAAATACACCTTTTCTACCGAAACATCCAGAATATTCCAGTAAATACGGGCGCCGAACGGCCAGGCGCAGAAAGTTCGAGTGTGGGGCTTCTAGAAAGCTTAATTCTTCTGTTCGATACTAGATGGCGCTGTTGGTCGAAAGTTCAAAATTGACATTTTCTAGGAAGCCCTCCTCGCTCTGGTCCCCGACACTAGATGGCGCTAGTGCTAGGTACCTGACTACAATAAAACACAAGTGGTAAAATTAAAAAAATTGTACAACCGACTTCAATATAAATAAAATGGGAACATAATCAATGTAATCGAAGTCAATTAAATACGCATTAATAAGGATGACTCAAAAATTACTCGTTAGATCCTGATAAAATTTATAAAATCGGTTCACCTAAAAAAAGTTCTGCGGTAGAGTAGAAGTAGGTAGAGGAGGATAACAATTGAAAAAGAATATAAACAAACGTAATTCTGAATACCCTACATACCTGGACTTTTCCAGATGAGTTAACACAAGCAGTGTATCCGTAGTCTTGCGTATGCATCTGACCTTGATGATTCAATATCGTGTAACCATTCCCCATATTCTGGTCTTTCTGACCCTCCTGCATATACATCTTTGATGGTGATCGCTTCAGCATCGGCCCTAACGTCTTTTGGCTCGTAAAATTCGGTTTTTGTTGAAATATTGAATAGTTTGGATTTGTTTTTTGGGGGTTTTGGATTTGTAGAGGTTTGAAGGTGGAAGAAGCAGTGATCAGAGGATCAGATTGGTTGGGCGGTCGAAAGTCCGCTGTAAAGGAGTACGTCGCTGAGGGATATGAGGTTGGACTTATGACGTTTTGAGCTTGAGGGTATACGACGTTGACGGACGGCGTAGATGCGTTCTGGTTCCATTGAACCTGCAAGAATAATATCTGATTAAAAATACAAAAATGTCCTTGAATTCTGAACCTTTGGCGTTGGTGTAGGGCCAATATTGAGGTTTTAAAATCAAGTCCCATTTAGTATTTGAATCAAACAGATACTTTTAATATTTGATTTTAAATAAAATAATTATTTACTAACTAAGAACTTTTAACATGGTAGAGCCACGCTGCAGCATTACTATAGTTATAGTACGAATGAGTTGGCTCGACCAGAGAAGGACCACGCTCTCACACGTGTCTAGGAGCCACAGAATCCATTTACCATCAAGTATACTACGTGTTCGTTTGTCACCATTATCCTATAAAAACAAAGTGCAACGCTTGAGTGCCCATGAGGACTAAGATGATCTTGTAGTCCGTACCGACCGTAGGGCGGCTTTGCCGTAGTCACGACGCTAGGCAGGCTGATGGGGCATTGCAGCAACAGATGTCTCGCACCATCTTCGCTGCTCGCCATCATCGGCTTGCATTTTACATCTAGCTTATATGGGATGATTAACTATGCAGTGGTGAAGTAAGTATTTCCACTACCCCATCTCGTCCTGTGGGTGTCGTAAGAGACGATAGAGGGAAATCTACTTGGAGATGGGCAGCAGCGTCATCCTAATGATAACTGAAAACAACACGAAAACGAAACATGACTGAAGTATATATATATATATATATATATATATATATATATATATATATATATATATATATATATATATATATATATATATATATATATATATAAAAATTAACTGTAGGTACGTATTTCGTTAAATAAGTCAAAACGCCAAGAATACCCAAAAAAAAATATTAATTCATAAAATTGTTTAAAACGAAATAAAATTACGTAAAATAAATGACTATTGCCGTGTAGCGGCGGTTGAGAATATCCACTACCCCATATCTTCCCGTGGGTGTCGTAAGAGGCGACAGAGGGAGACAGGCAGGAGATGGGCAGCAGCATCTTCCTGATAACAGCAATGATATAATAAAAAACTGCGGTTGCCAACCCGCTCGCCAAGCGTGGCAACAATGGCAAATATCCCAAACCCCAAACGGCCCCCTTCCCCACCTTGCGGGGTAGGGGGTGCTAAGAATCTCCGGTGGAGGTTCGGTTGCCACCTCCGACGACTCGACCTGGCAACATATAACGCACGCACCCTGAGGACTGACGAGAAGATACTGGAGTTGGAAGAAGAGGTAGACAAGTTGCGCTGGCATATTATTAGGTTATCCGAGGTCCGAAGAGAGGGGGAGGACACGGTAATCCTCGAGTCCGGCAACTTGTTCTATCACCGGGAGAGCGACCATCTGTCCCAAGGAGGTATCGGATTTATCGTCCACAAGCTCTTCGTCAACAACGTTGTAAAGATTGGGAGTGTGTCGACGAGGGTCGCGTACCTGATACTCAGAATCACCAAACTGTATTCGCTGAAGGTCATATAGGTTTACGCACCAACCTCGGCACATCCCGACGACAAGGTGGAGGAAATTTACGAGGATATCTCCAGTGCCATGCATTCCTCCAAAACCCACTACACGGTGTTGATGGGAGACTTCAACGCAAAACTAGGCACAAGAGAAAGCGGTGAGCTGAAGTTAGGGAAATTTGGAGTAGGGCAACGGAACCGTAAGGGCCAGCAGCTGGCCGACTTTATGGAGAAAGAGGGACTCTTTATGATGAACTCTTTCTTCCAGAAGCGGCCCCATAGGAAGTGGATCTGGTCGAGCCCCGACGGTTCGACAACAAATGAGATTAACTTCATTATAATAACCAGATGCCAACTGTTCAGTGATGTCTCAGTGATCGCAAGGGTGAAAACTGGCACACTCGATCACCGAACGGCTAGAGGCACACTGAACCTAAACATTAAGTTGGAGAGGTCTCGCCTAATGAAGACAACGCTTCGTCCCCCTCGTGCTCTAATCCAGAATCCCGAAACCTTTCAGCTCAGTTCCCGCTTTCAGTGCCTAGAAGATTGCAATGAAGTGGACGATATGAATGACAAGCTTGTGGAAACTGTCCATGCGGTCGGAGCTAAGTTCTGCAAGACCCGCCGCAGAAGAACCCAAAAACTCTCCGATCATACTCTTAATTTCATGGCTTTTAGACGGGAGATTAGGCTGCAATCGTCAACAGATTTGACAGCATACAGGCAACTGAACAGACAGATCTCCAAATGCATGCGGCGGGACTTACGGAACTTTAATACTGCCCGTAAGCGATTGAGCGGAACTAGGGCTCCAAAGTCTTTGCCAGAGATCGGTCTGCCAGTAAGAGCCAACTGTTAAAGCTGAAGAATAAGTGTGGCAGCATCGTTTCCGGGACACCTGAGATTCTGAGTGAGATTGAGAGGTTCTATGGGCAGCTGTACACATCATCGTTGGAGCCACACACAAGTGTGAGTAACGATCTAAGAGCAAGTCTTATCTGACACTATTCCGATGATATCCAGGACGTCAGTCTGAGCGAGACTAGAATGGCTCTACAGCACCTTAAAAACGGCAAGTCCCCGGGCGAGGATGGAAATTACAGCGGAGCTTTTGAAAGCGGGTGGAAAACCGGTACTTGAAGTCCTTCAGAGGCTCTTTAATTCCGTCCTCCATTGTGGCACTACTCCGAAGGCGTGGAGCAGAAGTGCGGTGGTCTTGTTCTTCAAGAAAGGTGACAACGCCCTCTTGAAGAACTATAGACCGATATCCCTTCTGAGCCGCGTCTACGTGCTGATTTCGAGAGTCATTACGAATCGTCTCGCACGCAGACTCGACGACTTCCAGCCTCCCGAACAAGCTGGTTTCCGAAAAGGCTTTAGTACCATAGACCACATACATACCCTTCGGCAAATTGTATAGAAGTCCGAAGAGTACAATCTGCCACTTTGCCCGGCGTATGTGGACTATGAGAAAGCTTTTGATTCCGTCGAAATTTGGGCAGTGCTACAGTCTCTTCAGCGGTGCCAAGTTGACTGTTGGTATATCGAAGTGCTGAATTGTTTGTACATTGGGGCTACGATGGCTATCCGAGTACAGAACCAGAGTACGAAACCTATCCAACTTCAGAGAGGTGTAAGACAGGGTAACGTTATATCCCCGAAACTCTTCACCGCTGCATTGGAAGACGTTTTCAAGCTACTGGACTGGAAAGGATACGGTATTAACATCAATGGCGAGTACATCACTCACCTTCGATTTGCCGACGATATAGTCCTTATGGCAGAATCGCTGGAGGACTTAAGCACTATGCTCAATGACCTCAATAGTGCCTCCCAACGGATAGGTCTTAAGATGAACATGGACAAAACTAAGATCATGTTTAATGTCCATGTCACACCTATGCCGGTAGTTGTTGGGAGCACTAAGCTCGAAGTTGTTGACGAGTACGTTTACCTAGGACAAATAGTCTGAATAGGTAAGTCCAACTTCGACCAAGAGGTAAATCGACGGATTCAACTCGGATGGGTAGCGTTCGGGAAATTACGACACATCTTTTCGTCATATATACCTTAAAACCTGAAAACTAAGTTGTACAACCAGGGCGTGTTGCCAGTGATGACGTATGCAACTGAGACGTGGTCCTTCACTGCTGGCCGTATCGGCTCGGAGTTTCTCTGCGTGATAAACTTTGAAATGAGGATATCCGCAGTAGAACCAGAGTGACCGATATAGCCCAACGGATTAGTAAGCTGAAGTGGCAATGGCTGGCCATATAGCTCGAAGAACCGACAACCGTTGGGGAAAAAAGGTTCTCGAGTGGCAGCCTCGTACCGGTAGACGAAGTTTAGGGCGACCCCCCACTAGATGGAGTGACGACCTGGTAAGAAATGCAGGAAGTCGATGGATGCAGGTGGCTCAGGACCGTGCTTTGTGGCATACCTTGGGGGAGGCCTATGTTCAGCAGTGGACTTGTGAAAGGCTGTAATGATGATGATGATGAACTGACTATGAGATAAAGAGCAAAAGAAAATGTGCGCACGCACTGCTCTCTCTTGTTTATATCCCCCACTCAACTCCCGTTCACCTCGCCCGATCACACTTTTCGTAACACTTTCGTCACGCGGTCGCCAGCTTACTCCCCAAGTCGAGCGTGCGTAAAGAACATTACTTCAAAAAAAAAAACTGCTGTTGTCAATCCGCTTGCCAAGCAAGGCAACTATGGCAAATATCCCTTATATGGCTGCGGGCACAAGATTAGCGAGAGTCGAGCGTGGCGGTAGCGGGGCGGCGACCGAGCGCTGTTTCGTGTCCGCAGCCAGATTAAGCATTGCTTTTGTTTACGTCGCTGTCGCATCACGCCGCTCCGCTACCGCTATCGCTCGACCGTCGCTGATTTCGTGCCCGCAGCCTAAGAAGCAATATTTGGGGTAAGCCTTATGTTCAGCAGTGGAATTTTGAGAGACTGTAATGGGAACGGTGTGTATGTAAGATAATATTTTGCTATATCTAGATTATCGAAAGGCTTGAGATTTTTCTGACGTTTTCATAATTGCCCCCTATACCTTAGTTCGCAAGAGACGACTCTTATTACTACCTCAAGCGATTCGCGTAGCTTGCCACTATACGTAACATAACTTTCGCAAGCTCACATACTTCGTCATCGGATGAATGGTAGAACGCACACGAGAAAAAAAGGAAACATTCAATTTTATCTTAATATATATATATATATATATATAAATTACGTGTCACGTTGTTTGTCCGCGATGGACTCTTAAACTACTCAATCGATTTTAATCAAATTTGCACTCCGTGTGCAGTATGGTTCAACTTGAGAGATAGGATTTTTTGCCCATGAGTGACCCATAATTTTTCTTTTTGCGATTTTAAGGACTTTTAATATGACATGACAAAGGGTCATCGTAAAGGGCAGAACAACGTCTGCCTGGCAAGCTAGTATAATATAAGATGTGAAGTAGTATCCATCTTTTTACGTGGTAGAGTCGTGCTGGAGCTATATTATGGTTGTAGAACGAATGGGTCGTCTCGACCGGGGAAGTACTACGCTGTCACAGAATACCAGCGTGAAATAGCAGCGTGTTACATATGGTCAGTAAAGAGAACCGAAGACATATTACTAGAAACGAGGCATTCCATCTTAGTCCTCAGGAACAACGTATATGGGTTTTGATGCTTAAAGTAAAAGTAAAGTTACAGCCTATATACGTCCCACTGCTGGGGCTCAGGCCTCCCCTCATTTCTGAGAGGGTTTAGGGCAAGGAAGTGTCCGCCGCGCTGCCCAAATGCGTGTTGACGAACTTCACATGTCTTCGAAATATTTTTTTTCTTATTCCTCAGACATGCAGGTTTCCTCACGATGTTTTCCTTCACCGCCGAGCACGTGGTAAATCAGCACTTAAAATTGCAATTAACAATTTCATTGGTGCCGGTGGGGATCGAACCCGGGTTACTCGCGTTCTGTTATATTTACAGCGAGCGTTAACCACTGAGCTACCACGGCTCTTTTTGATGCTTAATCGATGATAATAGTAACACATGGTAGAGCCATGCTGCATAAATATTATAGTTGTAGCACGATTGGGTCGGCTCAAACTGGGAATGACCACTCTCTCACAAAATACCAGCATAAAATAACAGCTTAATGCTGCTGTGTTTCGTATGGTGAGTGTAGAGAAACGAAGACCCCTTTAAATGGAAACAAGGCATTTCATCTCAGTCCTCAGGGGTGTGTCAATGCAACTGAAATTTGATTCTTTATTGACGCTAGATGTAGATTTTTAGGGGCCACAGCATCCACTTATCATCAGGTAGACTGTGTCCTAGTTTTTCTCCATTATTCTATAAAAAAATTAAATGTTTGTGGGCCATAGCCAGATAATAAATGGATTAGGCACTATCGGGTAAACTATGTGCTCGTTTTTCACGTTCTTTCTATAAAAAATTGGTTGACACTGCAGGCCATCCCAGTAACTTTCCTAAAAGCGCTTCAAATTTCACCAAATTATGACGTTAAATGTGAAATATCGAAGCAATTTAAAAAAAAATCAAATTTTTGTTTACGATATCTCACGAACGAATCAACCGATTTAGACCGGACCGGCGGTGATCGACGTAGTTTTTCAAGGTTAAAAGCTGATTAGTTTTTGGAATCGATCAGTAAAGCCGTTTAAAACTTATTAAAAAAAATAGTTTTTGAAACTTTTTATTTTTAAGATTTCTCGAAATCTACCGGTCCGAATTAGTTAAAATTCGTAGGAAATCTAAGTTTTATGAAAAACTTTGGAAATAAACTTGTTCATTTCAATCGGTCAAGCCGTTCATAAGTTATAATAGCGGGAAGTTAGAAATAAATCTCACAAGCCCTAACTATAGTCGTACTTCTATAACTAAGATGCTAGTCTAATATATGACCGACCAGAGTAGTAAGATTTAGATGAACTGATGCTGTAGCCGAAATCGGGTGGTACAGTATTAGTAATAGATAAAATATACCGTTACAGTCTATAAAATATACCAATCTGTGAGAGAGGCCTATGTTCAGTAGCGGTATAATATATTTTCCATAGTTACCACGCTTGGCAACCACAGTTTTTTTATTCGTTATTAGAAGACGCTGCTACCCGTCTCCTGATTAATTTCCCTCTGGCGCCTCTTACGACACGTACGGGATGATATGGGGTAGTAGATATTCTTACACCGCCACGACATGGTGCAGATATAATATGCCAAAAATAAATACAAACCTGAGAACAGAGCTGGTCAGGCGGACATCCGTGCATAGTCATATTCATGGAGACGTTGACGCTCATGGTGGGAAAAAGCGGCGCGCCACTGTAGTGTTCGTAGTACGGGTAGCCCCCACCGCCGTTCACCATCATCTGCTTTAAAAAATACACATTAAAAATAGAATATACAGCCAAAATTGCAGAGAAGGTTCAGAATAAGTAATATAGGTAAATTGTGAAGAAATATTAATAAAAAATTTCAAACATCTTTTCCTGATGAAAATGGGGATCCACGATAGTGGATCTCAACACACTGATAGTACCTATTTACTTACATCATACTATCTTATAATATCAAAACATATACATTATTTATAAAAGTACCTATGAAGTAAAAAAATTATTATATATGTTTATAAAATTGTGTAAGTTGTAGGATGTTGGTATTCGCTTTGTGGTCGCAATACATTTTGAACTTGTAAAAACCTGAGAGTCGCAGTCTCAGAGCTTCGCTACCTTGCACTGACTTGTTCAATTCGTCACTATATAAATACGAATGTGGGACAAATACCTACGTTTATTCGTTTCCTGAATCTTGAATAGGAAAGTGCTAAGAAAATATTTTAAAAATATAAACAGATAGTATATCACACAAATTATAGTGAGTCAGTGTTATTTTGTTTGAGAGTGCTGAAGAAAAGTAAGTACATTATTTTTTATAAAATTTTATTTTTGTACTCGTAGTTAGCAAAGATAGATAAATTACGCCAATCATGACTTTAGTTATTAGTAGTTTAATATTCAATCATGCAAAATTACACGAGTACTCCTCAATAGTTTTTTTTTTTGAAAGTTTTAGCAATCGGTATTATAATTACAGTGCAATCTCCGTAATTCGAGCTAATTGTTGCAAGATGTTCGAATTATGGAATATTTTCGGAAAAATACAAAAAATATTTTAATATACAGGGCTGCTGGATTTTCTGTCTTATTTAAATAATTTAATTTTGCCCACAGATTACTGATGCCATGTCCGAATCTAAAAAGAAATGTAGACAGTACAGTGTCGATTATTTGAAATTTGGCTTCATTCCATCATTGCCGGACAAACAATTGCCTATGTGCCTTTTATGCAACAAAGTTTTATGGCAATGACGCTATGAAACCATCTAAACTGCAAGATCATCTGAGAAGATGCCACCCTGATAAAACAGAGAAAGATTTGAAATACTTTCAAACACTCAAAGATAAACTTCAGAAGAGACCCCGGACAGAATGTTCGCTTCCACGTCACAAAGAAATGATGATGGCGGGCGTCTTACAATATCTCGTTACTTACATCAAAATCCGGAAAACCGCATACTATCGGAGGGAAGTTAATTTTGCCAGCTGTTGAAGAGGTTTTAAAAACTGTTTTACACAAACCTGCATCTGATATCATTAAAAGAATTTCCTTAAGCAACAACACTGTTGAAAGACGTATTTAAGAAATGAGTTCTGATATTGAAAGCTTCTTACGTAATTATTTGCAAACGACCCATTTCTCTATACAACTTGGACGAGTCAACTTTACCTGATAATGCAGCATTATTATTGGCATATGTTCGTTTTATTATGAATCAAGAAATCTACGAAGAACTGCTCTTCGCAAGAACTTTAATAACCGACACAAAAGGTGAATCAATATTTCATGTTTTGAAGGATTATTTCATTGAAAAAGAAATTCCTTTATCTAATATAATATCAGTAGCTACAGATGGAGCACCTGCCATGGTAGGACGTTATCGTGGATTTATAAGCTATTTAAAACAAAATGTGTCAGGGGTGTTAGCAATACAATGCGTCATCCATCGACAACATTTAGTTGCTAAAAATTTGATTGTTAGATTGCATGAATCACTTCATTTAGTCATTGATGCAGTAAACCGAATCCGAAGCAACGCGTTGAATACGCGGTTATTTGCGCAGTTGTGTGAAAAAAATGACGAACACTTTCATCAATTACTCCTTCACACTGAAGTACGCTGGCTGTCGAAAGGCTTATGTTTGACAAGATTTTTTGCACTTTTTTAAGACTATTTTAGAATTTCTGGATACTAAAGATAAAATTTTAAAAGAAAATTTAATGAAGAGGAAAACAGACATCGCCTATTTAACAGATTTGTTTACAAAATTTAATGTGGTTAATTTGCAATTACAAGGCGACAGTTTAAATTTGATTAAAACAAAGTCCATCTTATCAGCGTTTCTTGCCAGAGTTAAACTAATGAAGCAAAATATTGGACGGGGCGAATTTTCTCAGTTCCCCAATTTGTCACAGACAAGCTGCCAGGAAGACGACGTTTCAACTTACGTTCAACATTTAAATGCCCTCTATTCAGATTTTGAATCTAGGTTTGAGGATATTTTGACTATGGTAATACCACCGTTAATAATTAATCCATATGGTGACATAGAAGAAACGAATGTCATAATACGAGAGGAACTGACTGAACTAAGTACAAACGAAGAACTTAAGGTTCAGTTTAAAAACGGATATCAGCAATTCTGGCTGCAAAACAACATACCCGTTACTTATCCCGTATTATGGAATATAGCGAGGAAATTTTTAATTTCCTTTCCATCGTCAAACGTAGTGGAAAGGGGGTTCAGCGCTGTTACCAATCTCCTAAGGAAAAAAAGAAACAGACTTGACATCATTAGCCTAGGAGATTTAAGATTATCCCTTACAAAATTGACTCCAAATGTTTATAATTTATTATTAAAGCATCAGGTTCATCCTCTCACTAAAAATATTAACTTATTGCTTATGCTATTTTATTTATAGTTGATTTTATGTTTATTTAATGCTACGTATATTTTACATAACAGATACAAAATTTTATTTTGAGTAGTTTTAGTTAAATTCAATTAATAAATGTATAAATTAACATGTGTTTTTACTTTAAGTTTTTTTTAACACTAAACTTCACTACAGTTAGAAATTTACAGGAAATCAATATCAGGTAAGTAGGGGGTCTACACAACACGGAAAAACATGGCAAGGGGTCTACGACACAAAAAACTTTGGGAAACTCTGAATTAGAAGCTTTTAAAAATGTCAAGAGGAACGCTAAATTCCTTAGTCTGCCGCGGCTCAATAAAGTTATTTCTAAGCGCATTAATTACCAGCAATAGTATATAACTATAAAACTCTATACTCAGAAGTTCCTACACCAAGATACATCGTCGTATATTTAAGTACAGTTATGATTGCAGTGGTAGTAACAAAAAAAATAACAAAAATGTGACTATAAAAAGTATAAATAACTAAATAATTAAAATCAACAAACATTCAGCTCAAATATCATATAACTACGCATATTATAGTTGTATAGGGAAGCCAATATTAATCTTTTGCCTTATTAATTGAAATGATTTCACAAAAGCCCAACGCCCCTTTCGACCCAGCTCTACCCAATTCACCCGCTCCCCGTCGATCGAAACTGCACAGTGACATCCGTCTCTCTTTAACTCTAGTTAAAAGTGATGCGAGCGAATAGGTTGACTGTACCTGTGGATGGACGGTCTCTGAAGCGCAGTCTCCATGAACCACGGCATGTTTCAAGGAGAGGAGTACGTCGGCCGCCTCCCCTCCACCCCTCTCCCGGCATTCACTCCCGTTATTTCGGCTGGTGATTACAAGAAATTGTTAAGTTGATATAAAAGTATTATAACAATTTTCGAAATGAAAAATAAATTTGCAAAGTAAATTGCCATTTAACAAGAAATGAAAAATCAAATTAAAGGTAAATTATATATCATTCTTTTGTTTAAAATGCACAAAAGAGCAAATGAAAAGTAAAATGTATAAAAAATAAAGTGTAAAAACAAATAAGTTCTACGGCTAGGCAATTAACCGATTTTAATTAAAGTTGCACACCGTGTGCAGTTTGGTCCAGCTTGAGAGATAGGATAGTTTTTTCGCCCATGAGTGAATCACAATTTTTTTTAGCTAATTTAAGGGTTTTTAATAAAACATGTCGTCGAAAAGGGCAGAACAACGTCTGACTGGCAAGCTAGTTTATGTATATATACATATATATATGAATATATACATAATGAATATATATATATATATATATATATATATATATATATATATATATATATATATATATATAAATATATATACTAGTTTATGTATAATACATACATACAATGAATTTTTAGTTAAACATTTTTATACAATGATTATTTATCAAATTAGCTAAACCCAACTAATTGTTCATCAATTGTTAGATAGGAACTTGGCTTGTACCATTTTTTACAACTATCAATGAATTTCTCCCAAATTTCTCTAATTGGTGCAAATTTATCGGATGACATTCTGTCTTGTTTGGTAGCTTTGTCATCAAATCGAAGGCATCTAAGTAAGAAATCAAATCTCTCAGCGCTCACAAATGCTTTGAAAACGTTCCCACTCCTTCTGGTATCAAACAACATTCTCACCATATTATCATTCAACCATATTAACCAGATGACCATATTAATCGGGTGACCATATTAACTGGATGACAATATTACCCTCACATACTATATTATAATACTAGCGGTCCGCCCGGCCTTGCCCGGGTTAAACAATTATCTATCTTTAATATTATGTGGGTTTAATTTGTTTATACTAAAAATTAATGGTATACCACATTTTTGTCCATGTTATTTAGGTTTAAAAAAAATTTGATTCGACGCATTTCCAGACCTAAAGGGACCATAAACACGCCAACGCCGCGCCGACCTCCACTATAAATTATGTACCTATGTTACGTTATGTTTTCTATTAAAATGGTTACTGTTATTTATCCCTAGCAGATATATTCTATTGCGGGCTTTTTTTTAAATCTTTTTGTGAGTAAAAAATTAGCCATACATTATTTTAGTGTAACTTTAACTACTGTCACAAAGTACGCCGTGGAAGATCTACAGAGGCACGATTTTTTCAGATTTTTTAATATCAACATATTTTTTGGCCATAAGATCTATAAATACATTATATTTATATTGGATATGTCCATGTAGAATAATGTACCTTTCAAACGGTGAAAGAATTTTTCAAATAGGTGCAGTGGTTCCGGAGATAACTCACAAAATTCGCACACTCTCTTTAAAATGTTAGTATAGATAGAGGATGAAATAAAATTTGTTGCTCATCACATTGTTATTTAACGTAAAAGTCAAGAAAATTTTATTCAAATAAACTAGGTTTTTAAAGTCACAACCTTTTTGAATATCAAAAAATCATTAAAAATATTGTTTTTTCAAGAAGCAATAAGTCTTCAAAAAGACCACGACGTTTATATGCCTTCTTCCTTATTTTTGATCAAGTAATACAATTGTCTTTGATGATACAGCTTAAATATTTTAGTTTTTAAAATCGTTTTATGTAACTGTGCAAATGCTAAATACCGTTTTTATAATCGATCAATTACAATTGCTTGATTAAAATTAAGTCAGGTAATAATTTATTTGATAGGTTAACTTTTATGTAACGATTAAGAAAAAATCAGCCTTAAAAAAATTAACATAATTCACTTGTATAAAAAATACTCAAAATATTAAAGATATAAGATTTAAAAAATTACCGTTTTATAAAATTAATTATCTTTGCATAGTAATTAACAATTCTCTCGGATTCCACGAAATTTTTATAAAATAAATGTAACTGTCTGTGTATGTTCGGAACAATGACTTTTTCCAAGCCGTGGCACTGTAGAAAGGTATTTAGTGCTACGTCACTATCGTAGTAAATGTGAAGGACGACCTCGTGATCTCATTTTCGGAGTTACTACTTTACCCTTTCCTTTTTTTATAGAGTAAGGGTGACAAAGGATCACACAATCCATCAGACGGTATGTGGATGCTGTGAGCTGTGACCTATAGATATCGACATATATCCTCGATTGGGAATCAAAATGCAGATCCGTTGTCACCCCTGAGCAATAAGCCGTAATGCCCTATTTCCAGTAAAAAGTGTCTTATACGAAACACAGCAACATCAAACTAGTATTTCACGAATTCTGTGAGAGCGTGGTCTCCACCCGGTCGAGCCGACGGATTCGTGCTACATCCATGATATAGAAGTCTTAATTTTCTGCATCTTGAACTATCTCCGATCTTAATATATATGCGTAAGAACATGTGAACGACGAGGCATAAGAAAATTTTTGACCCCATTTCGTCCCAAGGATGTTATAAACGGCAATTATGGGAAATGCGAGAAAATATTTAAGGCTTCTAACAGATGGTCGTATAACCATCTAGTATACGCCAAACGTAAAACACCTTGGTCGACGACTGGCAGTACGATCTGATATTGCGATCGTCATCGCATCCTTGCTACAACTTCTCAACTAAGGGACTGGTTCAAAAAAAGAAAAACAATATTACTCTTCACTGATATAAACACGATATCATACTGATATGACACGAGATAGAGCATTGGATCAAACCGCAATATCCAAGGGACAGAGGAAAATTAGCTATTAGAAAAAATACAAATGCATAAAATTCATGGGTCAACCTTTACTTGTATACATTATTCTCCACAATCTAAAAATACGGAATACAGAAGAAGGAATAACCTTCTAGTCTTCATAAGCCTGTTAAGGATTTACCTTGTTAAAAAGAAAGAAAAAACGATTTATTAAAAATCTTATCCTGGTCAACAACTGCTATGTAAAATTTTTGATCTAAATTTGCCTTGCTGTGACAGTGCTGTCAGGGGGTATTTATGAATGTAAGCATAAAAATAATCATTAAGCTCTTGTCTGTATATCATATTTCTATTGTCCAAAATCGTGGTAACTAAAGTAAGAAATTTACTTATTAAAATTATATTCTTCATAAAACTATTAAGAAAAACTACGTATTATGGATTTTATCACGTTTTAATAATTTATTTTATATTCTCAACATTTTGAGTACGTACTTAACGAGTTCATGATCATGGGGGACCGTGAATATAAAACAAGTTTATAAAACGAAATCCATAAAAGTCGTGCTTGTTTTGCTAGATTTTGGTGATGAAGTAGGAAATATGATTTTGAATCAGTACTTTTTTAATATAATAAGGGTGACAAACGAGCACACAGTCCACCTACTGGTGGATGCTGATGAGATGGAATAATTGTAAAATATTCTTTAAAAAATAGAAATAATGATAATACTTTTTAAAATAATTTTATAATTTTATTGTAATAATAATAAACAATATTACTAATTATTGCTGATATTTGCAGTGCCCTTACAGGATGTTTCGAACTATTTTATATAAATAAGATCAAATGTATACGTAAATGGAAAAGATACAAGAATAACAAATAAATTGAATTGAAAAAGAAATCATTTTATAAAACTACTATTGACGGCCTGCAACGTATACTTCTTATTAGAACAAGCCAAGCTGTTATAACACAAAAGTAACTCACTTGTACCCGGAACACGGCGAGAATGGAAACAGCGAAGGGAGGGGGTCCAGCTCTAGCGGCGGCAGGGAGAAGGAGCCCATGTCGTCGCCGGGCCAGCCGCCCTCGCCAGTCGCGTCTAGGTTCACATCGCACGGAGCGATCGACTCTGTCAGCGCGTTTAACTCCTCGCCATTCTCCGGGCAGCAGTTCTCGTTTTCTTGCTATAAATTCACACAGAAGTTTAGAAAAACATATAAGGTAATTTCATACGTGGTAGAGCCATGCTGCAGTTATATTAGTAAAGTATAGTTGTAGCACGAATGGGGTGGCTCGACCGGGGAAGGACCACGCTCTCACAGAATACCAGCGTCAAAAATTGTAGCTCATTGCAGCTGTGTTTCGTATGCTGAGTGTAGAAAAATGGAGACTCTTTTTACTGGAAACGACGCATTCCATCTTAGTCCTCACGGGTGACAACGCATCTGCATTTTGATTCGTAATCGAGGATAGATGTAGATGTCTATGGGCCACAGCAACCACTTACCATCAGATGGACTGTGTGCTTGTTTGTCACCCTATCCTATAAAAGAAAAGATCACGAGAAAGTGAGTGACCTACATTTACTTGTAGACATTAATATTTTGTTCTTCAACGAAAATGAGAAAAATAAAATAAAACTCGTTTGCCAGTAGTTTATCGCTACCGTAACAGCCTATTAAAGCCCACTGCTAAATCTACGCCCCCCCCCCCCCCCCATAGATTGCCTCATAGGGGAGATATTTGCCATAGTAGTTACGCTCAGCAACCCTAGTTTTTAATTTTTTGTCATTATTATGGGAAACGCTGCGGCCCATCTCCTATTTTATTACCCTCTGTCGTCTCTTACGACACCCACGGGATGATATGGGGTAGTGGGTATTCTTACACCGCCACTACACGGTAAGCAATTTATTTAGGCTTGTGTTAATACGAAATTTAACATGGTGTCTTATTTCCGCTTTCGAATACTGTTTAAAACGCTATATAACTATATGACTTACGGATCAGAGACATGGTCCTTCACTGCTGGCCGTATGAGGACGCTCAAGGTCGCTCAGCGAGCTATGAAGAGGGCTATGCTCGGAGTTTCGCTGCGTGATAGACTCAGAAATGAGGATATCCGCAGTAAAACCAGAGTGACCGACATAGCCCAACGGATTAGTAAGCTGAAGCGGCAATGGGCCGGCCATATAGCTCGAAGAACCGATAACCGATGGGGAAGAAAGGTTCTCGAGTGGCAGCCTCGTACCGGTAGGCGTAGTGTAGGGCGACCCCCCACTAGATGGATAGGCGACCTGGTAAGACATGCAGGAAGTCGATGGATGCAGGTGGCTCAGGACCGTGCTTTGTGGCATTACTTGGGGGAGGCCTATGTTCAGCAGTGCACTTGTGAAGGGCTGTAATGATGATGATGAAAAAATAACTATATAACCTGCGCATGTGATGTTACTATTTCTTTATGTTGAATTATGTGTGACAAACGAGCACACGGTACCATTTAATTGCATATTATATATTACTTTACGCGTATATTACTTAACTTACTTTTTTATTCTCGATGCTTCGAGCAATTTACAGTACCCATGGTAACGGGGGGAACTAAGACGTTCGACGTCCCAATATCGTAGTTAACCACGGCTACTTCCAGATTAAAATTATTAATTTTTGTTCCGATCTACGCAGTACGAACTTATAGTATCTTGAAGTCTTGCAGTTGTGTGCTTGGGTTGGGATTTAATTTTATTAACTATAGGATCCCAAGCAGATGGTAGCACCCAGCCATCTTCCCTATTGAAATCGGGATGTTTTTTGATTTGAATGGCCTCGCGAATCATCCTTGGAAGTAATCTGTGTTGCTTGGGTTGGGACTCTTTTTGCATAGGAGTCCGACTGTGTAAGATACATCTTTTCTTATTTCTGCAGCCAAACATCAGCGCATAGATACTGGGCTCCGTCTTGGGTATTCAGAGACAGTATAATTAGAGGCTATGAGGCACCCCGTATTAATCCCTGGAGGTGACAACGCATCAGTAGCCTTTTTCTTAAAGTTGGTGACAGTTGTCCACGAGCTGCAGTAGACACTTACTATCCGGTGTACTGTTCGTTAGTAACTTCAATTTTACAAAAAAAAAATATCGAAAAAGTGCTACGAGGGTACCAAACACACAGATATTCGCTCGTCCATGTATTCAAAAATTGGTTATCTGATACGATCAGAATAATATTTATAATATCAACACGACTGTGTAACTGGAATAAATCTGTGAAATGAACATTGTCCTAATTTTACACCAGCCAGTAAGATACCATGATGATAATAGTAAAGGTGTAATTCTGTAACCGACTGCAGGCAATCGACTGCAGGCAGTAACAGCAGGCGACGTGTCGCCGCGACATATCGCTGCAGTCATGATTCCGAACCCGACTGCAGACGGCAGCAGCCCGTGACCACTCTGTCCAAGTGTTCACTGGGACATGATGTCTTGACATGTTTGAAATTAGTGATCGCGATTTATTTTTGCATCTTTTGTTAGAAGAGGAAGAAGATGATGATGACTTTATCATATAAGTATAAAGAGAAAAGACGAAAAGACACAGGTCCTATACAGAAATGCAGAGGAAGTGAGGGAACGTACACCGGTTTATCAGTTTCTCTTCCTAGGAATCGGTGTAACTCATTTTTTAAGAAAAATTCAACGCGTTGTCGCTCAGGCGTTGGCGACACTACTGATCTGCTGTCGGGCTACAGTTTCGTCTGCCGACAGCAAACGACGTGTCGCTAGCTACGGAATGTATTTCATAGAACTACATTGAAACCAGTTCTGTCTAGACGACACGTCGCTTGCTACTGCTGTCTGCAGTCGGCTATGGAATTGTACCTTTACAAGTTGCACGTGCATTATATCAAGCTTATTCTAACAGATGCTATCCTGATGCATCGTATATGATTCTTCAGTGGCTTCAGTGTTTAATCTTTTGGAAGAAATTGCTTTTAATATTGTATACTAGCCTTTTGCCACGCGGTGTTACCCGCGTTCACGTTATTAAGTCCGAATGGTCATGGCCCACACTTATTATGAGATCGCATAATACGGAGAGCTCAAGCTATCGATAGCATGGAAACTTTCTCATATTTCGGAATCATAATGATCACAGATTCTAAGTTCAACTTAAGCTTTTTGAATAGTAACATTATTCTTCCTTCTTCAACGAATTATTTTCTGTTACAGTTGTACACTTGTGGAACTCCATCCAACAATCCTTTTCTTTTATCTAGTTTTGCCTTTTTTGGCATTGAAGAAAAATCTCGATGGAAAACATATTATGCTAGTAGACATAGGAAAAAATTGTTCATATTTTACGGGTGGTTTGTGTAAAATTTCTATCTATATACGTCGCAATGCTGAGTCTTCTCTCATTTTTAAGAAAGTTATGAAGCAAATAAACCAAAGTGCGACCAAGTTTGTTGGCCATATTTTTATTCCACAAACATGCAGCTTTCCTCGCGATGTTTTTTGCCAACACCGAGCGCAGTTATCGAGCCAAGTATAGTAAATCAGCATTTAAAATTTCAATACCAATTACATTGGTGTCGGCGGCGATCGAACCAGGGTTACTTGGCTACTGAGAAATTAACGCACAATTATAACCCTTAAAGGAGATTCACTGCAAAATGCTTTGAAAGTCTATGAATATATTTAAGCGCTCCTTTTCTGAAAATAAAAACTTATTGAACTAGCTATTATTAAATATTTTATCATATTTATAAAAATTGTCAAAACGGAACTCATGGCATCACTTCAGTGTCCGTCCGTCCGTCCATACGTTCGCCACAACAAAATTCTGAGAGAATTTTTTAAGTTAATAATTTGAATTCAAATAATAACAGTGATGGCATCTAGTATGATGGACATTAATTTAATTCCGGAGCTTAATGTCTGGGATATTGAAAAGTATACCAAAAGGCTTTTCGTGTAGGATGTTAAATTAAAGCTTAGTTGTAGACGAAATTTAACGATAAAAATTGATGGTAATATTTAAACATAACAAAAATTAGACAAATGCAATCCTATCTCCTCTTAAACCCAAGGGCATTGTTCATTGAAAAAATTATTATTAAGAAATATGGAGTCAAAATTCTTAAAATTAATATCGTCTCAAAACTATTTAATAATTGTAGGGTGTTGCTGGTTTAATACTGTATAATGATTACAGATTTTTAACCGTTGATTAACTTTTGATTGGATATAACCTATTTTGAGCACCTACCTATAACTTAGTGAATATTTTTGATACAAAGCTCTATGACAACTTTATCTTATAAATACTGGCTAGATAAATTAAAAAAAAAAACAATATTTTTTAAAATTAAAATCTAAGCATAAACAATTAGATAAATTGAAATAAAAAAAGATTAGCATACACACCTGGCAGCACTCGTCTTCCGTGAACTCGCGGACCTGCTCCACACAGCTGCAGGGCTGCAGAGGGTCGCAGCAGAGGCCGTGGCACCCGGGGCAGTACTCCACGAGCCCGTACTGGGGATTGTTGGGCATATAGCAATCCATGGCTCCGCCTTCCTTTTTCGCGCATCTTACGGCGCAAGGGCGGCGCCGACCATCCTCCTAGTTCAGTTTCCGACGCTTGTAGTCTCGGGTTGGCATGGCTACGAAAGAAAGGTTAAGTAAGATTTAATTTCTTGGTTGATTTTTTTGATTGCGTATCAAAATGAAACAATTTGTTACTCTCAACTGAAGTAAACGACGACTGAGAACAGTTTTTTTTGCAAAAATGTTAGTTTTTAATTGGGAACATTTGATAAAAAAACAGTTTTTAATCGTTATGTTTAGTTAAATATCCATTTATAACTTTATTTTACTATTATAAGCTGCTTGCCTACTACCGCACCTGATGGTAAGTTGTGATGCAGCCTGAAGATAGTTACAGCGCGCTGTATGAGCTTAACAAAAGCCTATTCACTCCTGCCTTGAAGAGACTATAATTGTATAGAAAGACAGATGTTGGCAAATTACTCCACTCTTTTGCTGTATTCTTAATTAAAACAGTGACAAAGTACATATTATGAATACTTAAAAGTCTTATATCCTGAAAATCACTATATAAAAATTACAAACAATGTGACATTGTTTGTCCGCAATGAATTCCGAAAGCACTTAACAGATTTTAACATTTTGTAAATGTGTGTTGTTTGCTCCAACTTGAGAGATAGGATAATTTTTATCTATATAAGTGAAGCTCATTATTTTTTATTGCGAATTTAAAAAAAATTAAAGGAATTAATATTTTTTTTTTTTCGTCGTAATGGGCAGAACAAAGTCTTTCTGGCCAGCTTTTAATTCATAAATTATAATTGAATTCAATAACAATATACCTTTTTTGTATACTATTTTGTATGAGTATGAGTGTCCACCTGTTTGTAGGTGGATGCTACAGTCCATAGACAATTACTTTCGTCTTATCAATATACAAGTACTTTCGTCTTATCGCCGATTAAGAATCAAAATTGAGATGCCTTGTTAGCCTTGACTCAGATGGAATGATTCGTTTCTAATAAAAAGGATCTCTGCTGGTTTGCTGCTATTTTATGCTGGTAATCTGTGCGAGCGTGATCAATCCCTCCCTGGTCGCGACATCAGCCACCACGTTATAACCAACTCTTATACCTATTTAATGTTAAGTATCTGATTGTATGAGTAAATAATAGACTCTGTTCTTTTCAAATCGTTGAAGTCGGCTTTAATTTTTTACTTAAAGTCAATTTTTTTACCCTTCTGAGTGGACTAATAAATATTATACAAAATAACAAATATCAGTTTCAATGTCGTCTAAATAACAGCATTAAAAATTTAAAAAAAAACTAGTTTTTACGGATTTTATCGCGTATATTAACTTATTTTATATTCCGAGTTTCGAGCACTTTACAGCACGGGATCACGGGGGGGGGGGGGGGGGGCTCAGGTGTTCGACGTCCCAATGTCGTAGTTAACCACGGCTACCTCCAGATTAAAATCATTAATTCTTGTTCCGATCCACGCAGTATGAACTTATAGTATCGTGAAGTCTTAGCGAGGATTTGTGGTCTATTAAATCGGATGTAGTGACGGGGCGATCCTGTACGTGTTCACACAACTGCGAACTTACTGGATCATCGATTTGAATCGCTGAAGAACACCGATTCCTTCAAAGAATGGATGAATTAGATGGATAATTTAGGATTCGCGAGGCTATTGAAATTAAGAAACATCCTAATTTCAAATTTCAATAGAGAAGATAGCTGGGTGCTAGCATCTGCTGATGGTTGGGTTGGGATTTAATTGTAGTATCTGGATTACCGAGCTTTGCTCGGTTTTTTTTTAAATTACATTTAGATACAAATTACATACTGATAAAACATGAATAATATTTTTTGATTCTCTTGACATAATAGAAAAAACTGAACTGGTTATTTGAATAAAAAATCATGAGTGCAATTAGTTTCGATTAAATTTTTCGTATTTTTAAAAAATACTAAAAAAAAGTGCTCGAAATAATATTTTCTAGAAGGGAACTTGAAAAAAAAAGGGAGAAAGGTAGGACCGAAGACAGGACGCGAACCAAGGCATTACGATTTCGCGACCGCTCGCTATCCATTTGAGCTATTACGATCATTAACACAACGTCAAAATTTACCTTCTTATATTGTAGCAGTTTTTCATTGCCTGAAAACGCGGACAAAAAACATTTTCTAAAAATAAATCCTAGCTAGATCGATTTATTGCCCCCGTAACTCCCTGGACGCAAAATTTATATATTATGAAAATCGTTGGAGCCGTTTCCGAGATTCCGATTATATATATATACAAGAATTGGTCGTTTAAAGGTATAGGATTAACTATAGAATCATGCATCATCCTCAACCCAAAATTAAATTCCAACCCAAGCATACAACACAAAAACACACAGTCGAATTGGGAACCGTTATGGCTCCGCCACACTATGCTCCTCGCGCTTCTCATCGCTCAACTCCTCGCGCTGCGACAGCTGTCAGTCAAAATCATGCCTATGAAGTCCTGAATTTCTTAGTAGTACAGACAGTACCTGGGCATGCCGACCTAATTAACGCATGACCATAAAGTATGACACTGACAGGTACTGTCTGTACTACTAAGAAATTCAGGACTTCATGGGCGCGCTTTTTAAACAGGATCCGGAAATATAACTCATACTTTCAAATGACGTCCTTCGGAGTCGACCGGGAAATAATAATGCCAGGATTTTCACCTACATTTACGGTGCAAGGGCAAATTTATCATAGAATAGGTTCACTTTTTCCAGCTAAAAACGAACAGCATAAATTTTAAGTATATTTTATGTGTGACGAAGAAATTGAGGTAGACCGTCGCTGCCAATTTATCCAGGGAGTTGAGAGAGACACAGTGTTCAAAATTCAAGATTCTTGCATGAACGTAACATTTTAGTCAAAACATTTAAAACTGCTTTAGGAAACCTACCTGAAGAGTATTATAAAGTCGTCATTCACGCAGATCGAACCCCTCGAGGAGACCATGAAAGGCGCTACAATGCACCTTTGATAAACGAAATAGCAGCCGTAATTAGTAGTGATCAATTTTCTTCACGAGTCATTGTCTTGCGAGCACGTGATGATACGTTGCAACGGGTAGCCGATACACACAAGTTTTATGACGCTCTGCAATACCCATTGATTTATAGCAAAGGACAAGAGGGTTATCATTTTCAAATTCCACTCTTTAACCCGGTCACAAAGGAGCCTACTCCGAACAAAAAAGTATCATCTATGGATTTTTATGCGTATCATATGATGTTGCGAGAAAATGATTTTAACCTCTTAGCCCGGTGTAGACAATTATTTCATCAATTTTTGGTAGATATGTGTGTGAATGTAGAAAGTGAACGTCTCCGTTATATATCTTTAAATCAAAAAAAGCTGCGCGTTGAGAATTATATACCTTTACAAGATGCAGTTTCTAGCGACGCCAATGTAAACCCCAGAGATTTCGGTAAAATGGTAATTCTGCCCTCATCATTCGTTAACAGTCTCCGCTACCTACATGAGTACACACAACACGCATTCGCCTATGTACGAACTTACGGAAGACCTGATCTTTTTGTTACTTTTACTTGCAATCCCACATGGAAAGAAATAACCGAGGAGCTAATGCCGGGCCAAAAAAGTACTGACAGACACGATTTAGTTGCTAGAGTATTTAGATTAAAAGTACAAAAATTAATGTATGCAATTAACAAAGGGAAAATTTTCGGAGAGTTGCAGTACTTCATGTATTCAATTGAATGGCAAAAAAGAGGATTACCGCATGCCCACATACTAATATGGCTTAAATAGAAGTTGCGGCCCAGCTAAATAGACGATATAATAAGCGCCAAGATTCCGGATCCTGAGCAAGATAAAGAATTGTATGATACCATCGTCCGAAATATGATTCACGGTCCATGTGGAGCACGTAATTCAATATCACCATGTATGAAAGAAGGAAAATGTACAAAGAAATTCCCTAAACAGCTATTAAAAGAAACAGTGCAATGACAATGGCTACCCTTTATACAGACACAGAGCTCCCGAAGATGGTGGCAGGAAAGTTACAATCAAATCTCGCTCTGGAAGCGTTTAAACCTTAGATAACAGCTGGATTGTCCCGTATTCGCCCATTCTATGTAAAATGTTTAATGCCCACATTAATGTAGCATGAGCCCTGGCCGCGCAATCAAGTATATCTGTAAGTACATAAATAAAGGAAGCTACCAAGCAATATTTAATCTCAGGAGTAAAGGTGAGGCAAATCCCGTTAATGAAGTACAGACCATTCAAGCAGGGTGTTATGTCAGCAGTAACGAGGCAGCGTGGCCTCTACTTGGCTTCCCTTTACACGAAAGGCACCCAACAGTTACTCATCTTGCTGTGCACTTAGAAAATGGAGAGCGTGTATATTTCACCGAAAGAAATTTCCAAGAAAGAATCGCATCACCGCCAAAAACTACACTAACAGCCTTCTTTCAACTTTGTCAAACCGACCCCTTTTCAAAAACGTAGTTATATTCTGAAGTCCCCCGCTATTATACCTGGAACATATCTAGGAAGGAGTGGAAACGCCGCGCCGTATTCAAGGCGCGCCTGTTGCAAATAGGCTCTGTGTAAAGTCATCATATGCCCTTGGTCGTGTGTATACCGTCCATGTAACTAATTTTGAATGTTTCTGTTTACGATTGCTGCTGCACCATGTTCGGGGTCCTACAGGATATAAAGACCTTAAAACTGTCAACGGTCAGGAATGCGCAACTTATAGAGAAGCATGTGAAGCTCTGCATCTTTTAGAAAACGATAATCACTGGGATGAAACCATGGAGGAAGCTGTGCAGTGCCAGTCACCAGCCAAAATTAGGGATCTTTATGCAACTCTCATATCATCTTGCGGGCTATCTAATGCACATGAATTGTGGGACAAATATAAAGAGTACATGGCGGAAGATATTTTGCGAAGGTTACAGCAGACACATGCGAACACATGACATA